CGGTGCGGACCGCGCCGCCGCCTCCCGCGCCCCTCAGCCCTCGGGGCCCGCCGCTGCCGTGTGAACGCAAACCAGTGACTTTCTTCACTGCTCCTGGAAATCGCGTCCAGCAAGAGAGGAAAACAGCCTGACTTGATACAGAAACTAGCAATCAAGAAAAAAGGCAGAGAAACAGACATCAGGGCTGTGAGAAAACACCTTTACACTCGTGAAGCTGTAAATAAAGCATCAATGCCTCCCCAGGCTTTGTGGCTTTTTAATTTTGCCAAAAGGTGACAATGTCCTTTAGGCCTTGTGGTAGCAGCATGCTCAGAGAAAGCACAAAGAGAGGGAAGCACCAGTGCTGCACGGATCCTTCCAGTGCTTCGTGAGCTGGTGTCACTGAACAGGCTCTCGGGAGCAGTGCATCTCCCAAAGGTGCTGCAAGTGAAGTGAGTGGAAAAGTTCTGTAAGGAGCCAGAACAAGTAAAGAAAAAGGGCCCACATACAGAAATTGTGGAGTCCTCAGCTTTGCTTAACTTAAAAAAAACCCAAAAACAACAACAAAAAAACCCCAAAACCCCATACTTACAGAATCATGGGCTGGAAAAGATCTCTAAGATCATCAAGTCCAACCATCAACCCAACACCACCATGCAAGCCAAACCATATCCCGAAGTGCCACACTTACATGGTTTTTGAACCCCTCCAGGGATGGGGACCCCACCACCTCCCTGGGCAGCCTGTTCCAATGCCTGACCACTCTTTCAGTAAGGAAATTTTTCCTAATATCCAATCTAAACCTCCCCTGATGCAGCTTAAGGCCATTGCCTCTCGTCCTATCGCACTTAAAAGCTTTTTGTTGTGCAACTGAAGCAGCAAAACAAGCAATTTAGGGAGGGAGTAACATAAAAAGGACAGTCAGGGTGCAAGAGGAGTGATTAGTGGCAGGAAAGCACAATGCCAGACAAAAGACAGCGGAGAACCAGAAGACAGCTAGGCTGAAAGCTTGAGAAAGACAAAGCAGGACGCACTTCAGATGCCACAGAAGTAGCAATCTAAGAGGCTGTTGCTCCAAACCTTCCTTCCGGTGAGTCAAAAGTTACTGGAATTTGTTGCTTGAGAGGAGCTGCAGTTTCTAATTGTGTGAAAAATTTTAAAGAAATATTTTTCTGCGCTGTCATGATGTCACCATTCAGTCACTGGGAAATTCTATAAAGGAACTATTGCTGCATGTTCCTGTATTTCCCCAAGCACCTTCTATTGGCCCGAGGATGACAGTTGTGCTGAGTTAATAGGTTTGACATGGGAAAACGGGGCTCTGCCAACAGCCAAGGACAGCACTGTCTCGAAAAACTGTTATCCATTTTTCAGGCACTGTGGACACAAAGTTGAACAGCAGATCAGAACTTTCTACTGTTCATCAGGGATGTCTCTAACAGATCTCAGCTCCCCTCTACAGTTCATAGTCCCAGAATTACAGCTTAGGATGCAAACACCAAAGCAAGGTAGTTGCAGAGATTTTTTTTGTTTTGAAAAGAGGATTACAGATGATTTCAAGGTTAGGAAACAATAAATACCATCATTTTACAGATTGTTTCTCCGGTGTTCCACATTTCATTATTCAACTTATTATGATACGAAGATCTCCCACAGGTGTAGTTTCCACGGGGTGTTTTTGCATTTATGTGCTGTAATATTAGCTTTCCAGAGTGTAAAAGCTGATGCATTATGATTATTCTATCTGAATGTTTTGGCAGGAGGAAGAGTTTGCTCTCAAAAGTCTCAACAAAGAATGCTCTCAGAGATGCCTTTGCTTTCTCCTCTAACTGCGCACTTGAACTTGCTACTGGCAGACGCAACATTAGAAACAACCGCAATGGGGCAGATGATTTTTTTTTCTCCATGTATAAAAGAATGCAAAGAAGGTACATTTTAATATGATCCAGGCAAATATTTACCTTTGTACAAAGAAGTTAACAAAAAATCCACATTTTCATGTTGTAACTACTTATAGGTTTTCATAAATGTCCAGTTTGCAATAAAGTGTATTTGGAAACAAAGTCTTCCACCAGGTCTCCCTGCAGCATCTTCATAGCTCGCCAGTGAATGCTCCCACAGTTTTCTGGTTTGCCTTGGGGATGATTTAGCTCCTCTTTGATATAATCCAGCCAGAGATCTTTAAAAGAAAAACAGAAGTTCCATTTACATTTTGATTTGGTATTACTTAACAAACATACCAACCCTAACCTAGAAACTCTCTTTTTGAAAGTGTCCTTAGTGTTTGTGCCGTGAGGTTTGCTTTGTGAAGCTACAACCCCCTGCCCCTTGCAAACCAAAAGCCTGGGTTCTATTCCCAGATGGAACACTGATGTCTTAATAAATAATCTAGCAATAATGAGCTGTTACTTTCTTAAAAGGAATACTACAGACATCTTGATCATAAAAACATAGCTCCATACTGCATGCCAATCCAAATTAAAGGTGATATGCACCTCTTACACCAGCCAGTGTCAAAACCTTATTTGTTATTAGTTCTGCTGAAGCCATCCCTGGACTGCAAGTGAAGGGTCATTGCAGTGTCATGCACTTAATGGCACAAAAGAAGCAAGCCCCACTCCACATGACAGCAGTCACAAAGGTAGAACAAACAGCTGCCTTTCAAAATGGAGAGAAATAAAAGAGGCAGCACTGAATGAATAAATAAATAAATAAAATCTCCTTACCAGAATCTGTTGAACCAAACTCTCTCAAGGCACGTTCATAGTATTCTCTCAGATGAAGCACTTTGCAGGATTCCTAACACAGGAAGGTATTAAAAGGCCATTTATTTTGCACAGAAGTGAATCTGCAGCTTGATTAGATTCTTACAAAGAGAGAGAGTGTCATGGCAATTACACGCACACTGCCAAAGATTAGTCACCATGGCACTTGGTTTTGTATAACATGCTATGAATCAAGTTTAGAACACAAATATGAACTGATCACAAACTAATGACACTACTCATAAGCCCCCTTTTCCTATTTAAATCCAAAGTTGGAAGTATATTTTACAAATACCAGGCACTACTGGATATTCAACAACTTACCTGCTCCTTTTCTATTTGGATCATCTTCCTGAAGAAGTCAAGTGAAAATGGACGATTTTCACACAGGCTGAAGTGAAAACAAAAGTAACTTTAGACTTCAAGCCTTTTAACATATGCCCTAAAAAAATTAAGGTTTGAAGGTTTTATTTGTCACCTGGTAAAGATTCTTTTAACTTTTTTATAACCACCACTTCTGTAAGTCCAGTAGGATCTCTGAAAGTTTAAAAGAAAAAAAACAAACAAACCACATAAGTCAAAACTAAAAGGCAACAAGGGAGAAAAAACCAACCTGATCCAGTTGCAGATGTCCCTGCTCATTGCAGGGAGGTTGGACTGGATGGCCTTTAAAGGTCCCTTCCAACCCAAACCATTCTATGGTTCCATGAAATAGTACCTTCTCCCTAATTAGGCATCTGACATAAAGCAGATCTCATAAGTGAGACAAAGTACTGAACAAAAGCATCCCAAATGATGTCTGAAAGACAGCATTAGGTAACGCATCCAGTATTTTTCGAATCAGAATATTATTTGTAACCTGAGATAAAGGTCTCCTCTAATATTCCATACAGCTGGCAACTGGCATTTCCCTAACATCCTTCATGCAAAGGGTTTTACAATGCTCTACAAACTAAATTCAAGCTTCTACCTGAAACATGCTTTATGTTGTCAATGCGGGGATTTCTATTAGCTAAGTACCTGGTAGAGAGCTTCTGTGTCTTCCTTGCTGTTCGTGCCTTCGCTCCATTCCACCCACAGGGTCCACAATGGCAAAGTGCCCTACAAGGTAAGCAGACAAACCAAATTACTGAAATATAGTGACTCTGATTTACAGAAACAGACAGCAGAACATCCACCAGATTCTGTATTTTAAAAATGCCTTAAAAAAAATGTCCTGTAGACATAGCTCCTAGAAAGACAACTTTGAACTGCACACTGAAATCGCTTCTTGTTGCCTTGCTCACTACTACTTAGATAGACAGCTGCAAGACATGTTGCCAGCGATGAGAGACAAGTTCTTCTGCAACACTGAACCCTGCAGTACAAAGGTAACTTCTGAGAACAGCAAGGAGGAAAGAAACAATCACTCCTTGTTTCCTCTCCTCAATCCTTGTGCCCAGGGTTTAAAATGGAACAGTATGAGAGCACACAGCTGATTCAAGGATTGAAATACCAGACAAGCAAACAGTATATCAGGACAGTAAAAAGGAAACACGTTTTTCAAGTAAGACACAAAGAATACCAACTGACTGCTAGAAGGGTATGCAAAATGTCACTTGTCAGCATTCAGACTTTAAAACTGTGAATATGAAGGGAATTTGTAATTCCCTAATGCTCCTGAATGCAATGTGCATGTGAAATGCCAAGTTCTTATTTCTGACCTTAAAAATGGTTAGGGACTTTGAATTTCCTGTCTAAGACCAATGCATGCAAGTCTATAAAACCAGCACAGACCTTAGATTTCACACGTTTAACAGCTTCTTCAAAACACTGGGTCACATCGCCGCTCTTCAGTTGGATCAGCACCTGCAGCCTCATCTGCCATGTTTCCACTGACAGGCTGAAGCGCTTAGTTGCAGCTTCTGCCACCTCCGTAGCCCTCTCAAAGCAGTTGGACTCCAGTAGCAGTTGAAGCTAAAACCCAGCAGATACAGCTAATCACCATGAGAGATTTGTAATACCTTGTTAAAAAGCAAGGCCTTGATCAAAATATCGCCCATCTTTCTATCTACTCAAAACGTTAAAGACAGGCATGCAAGCAATGCAGGACAGTCTCAGAATCTATTTTTCTGTGTCAGCTCTTACCCACTGCTTATAGAGAGTCTCTGCCAGCAAACTGGACTCTTGGGCTTTGTTGAACACACTCAGAGTCCTCTCCAGCCTCTAGAACCAACAGAGAAGAAAAAGTAAAGAAAATAAGCATTATTCCTGCATACAGCAGATCCCAGCATTAAAAGAAGCCCAGTAGATTAGGGTACCACTATGTCACTGAAATTCAATAAAAGTTACATATCTAATGCTTTAGGTACCTGCACACATTCTAAGACACAGGGGAAATTTAAGCATTTGAATTACACTTCTTCCATGAGGAGCAAAAGAACAACATAGCAACGTCTTTTTTACAGTATTAACAGGCAATCAGACTGCACAGAATGATTAGTTAATTCACTGAGTCACACTCAAGCATATGTGCATAACTAAGGTACCAGTGTGCCAGCACCAAACTTTACACAGACTCATTTGCAAGAGTCATTTTATTTCATCCTTTTCTTTGAACAAGCACAGGTTTGCAGGACTGTCAGTGCACATTGACAACTTTGCACTCTTAACTTCCACCCAGAGAAGTCACTGCACTTTACTGACCAGGCTGGTTTATGCCCAAATTCTTCATGTTCAGACAGGCCACATGTATGCCTGAGTAAAAAGTGATCCCCTCAGAGACTAAATGATTTTTAACAATGGCCACAAGTAACTATTTCTGATGAATTATGAAAATATATTTGCTCTATGTCTGATAGATTACAGAAGTCAGTGAAAATAGGGATTATTTGCTAATATGATTTCCTAATAAGCTTTTACCTTCTGCTTTAATTCTTCACTGTTGGTTTTCCTGTTATACCTCTCTAAGCAAAAAGTGATGTAGCATTTCCACATGTCCTCTGTAGAATCAAAAGCATATCATCACACTTCATAGAATCACAACAGTAAGCACAAATATTTGTCTTTAAGGACTATAGGGAATCCAAGCACTAAGTGTTAATGCCAACTTCATTTTAAAATGTTGTATTGTAAAAGAGGCCCTATGTTTATAATATTAACACTTTAAAATGGCTGCCCAGTATAAGCTGCAGACAGTAACTTCTTCTAAAGAGCATCAAGATCTTAGTTCAGCTGAGGCTTCAGCCCATGCTGTCACAATTAATGTTTAGTGCCTGGAGTTTTCAATGGACCTGCAAGAGTGATGACACTCAAAGGCCGTCAAGAAAATCCTTCGTCTGTCTGACATCAAAGGCTATATAAGCAGCAAGTTTGAGCCTGCTCCACAGATAGTCCCTCGAGAGCCTCCTTTGAGATGAAGGACAATGCCAGATGCTGAATTTGGATACCCACTCCACTGGCAACTCAGAAACATGGCTTCCTCACAGCTAACCAGCAATATACTTGAGTTCTACAGGTTTCCTTTATTTAGGATATTTTCTCTACTTGTAACTCCCAAACCTCTATTCTTCTGTGGTCTTCTATTCTCCTCACTGGTTAAGTCACATTAATAAAAGCAAGCAAACAACAAAAAGCACTTTCAGCTAAGTGCTGAAACTGAGAGCACCCTCGGCAAGTCTGCCGACGACACCAAGCTGTGTGGTGTGGTTGACACGCTGGAGGGAAGGGATGCCATTCAGAGGGACCTTGACAGGCTGGAGAGGTGGGCCTGCGTGAACTGCATGAACTTCAACAAGGCCAAGTGCAAGGTCCTGCACGTGGGTCGGGGCAATCCCAAACACAAGCACAGG